CAATCGGCTATAAATAAGATAGGTCAAATTTTGGCTGATTCTTGGCCGATTTCTGATGTATGCCAATCGGCTAGGCTAATTTTTGATAATTTGCCGAATTTAGGCCGATTTTAGGCTGATTTTAAGCCAATTTTTGCATGTCCGATTTTTTTGATTTCGATTAGTAATTATTGAAATTAATCTATATTATTATCAAAATTACACTTTAGACTAGAATAATTTCTATTTTTTAATTATAAATACTTATTTTTAAATATAATTATACAGTCAGAACTTGATATAATGAATTTTTTAGTTTGATAATTTTGATTTGTTATAATGAGGATTCAGAATAACAAGTTTTTTTTGATATATCGATTTAAATAATAAAAAAAATAAAAGTTTGTTATATCAAATTTTTGCAATAATGCAATCTAGTTATTATTTATTTATTATTTATTATTTGCATATTGTATGCTATACTATTTTTTATTTGTAAAATTTGAGAACAAAAAAAAAATCTAATCGAAATTAATAAACTCATTATATAATTAGATTGAAGTTTATTTTTTTTGAGACAAAATTCTTGCTTTGTCCTATAGATAATATATTATTTTTATTTTAGAAGACATGGTAAAAGATAATCAATAGAAGAAATAAAATCCTTCAATTTATATTTATACTAATTTATTTAATATTTAATATTTACTATATTAGTATAATTTTGATATATTAAAGTGAAATTTTATAATGATGATGATCGATTGTTAAATCAAGAAAAAAATCCATTTTTTATAATGATCATTGGTGTAATGAGAAAAAAATCATTATTAGTTTATTACAAATATATAATTAAGCTGGTTTATAACTAGATCAGTATATGTAATATTGTAAAATTTATAATGAAATTGCTATATAGTGATAAATTTTATTATAAGTGATTTTGGTTTAAGAATAAAATTCGTTATAAGCCAAAATCAGTTTATTGTGAATCACTATATTGAGTTCTGACTGTATATTTTTAATCATATAATAAAGGTATTCTTAATAGTTTTTAAAATAAATTATTATTTTTTTATTAATTTTTTTTATAATAATAAAAATTATTATATAAAATAAATTTTAATATATATAGTATTTATTTTTTAATATTTATTATATAAAAAATTTTAAAATAATTAATAATTTATTAATAATATAATATTAAAAATTTATAAAATAAAAACTTTTATAAATTTATAAATTTAATATTAAAATATATTTATATATTATATAGAAAAATTGCTAAAAAAATTAGATTCTAAGAATTTTGATTAAAATTAAGATTTTATTGCATTTTAATCTAATAATATCAAAATCTAAATGTAATAAAAATTGAAGTTTTGTTAAAAAGTTTCAGAATCTGATTTTACTAGCAATCTTTTTATATAAAATATATATTAATTGATTATATAAATATAGATTTAATTAAAATTAGATTTTTGAAAAATCTTTTAATTATTGATAAATATAAAGATTAATAATATAAAAAGTAATAATATAAAAAGGTTTTTCATAAAATGAAAAATATTTTTATTTTGTTTACAAATATTATAAGTATATCTTTTTATGTAAATATATTGCAAATCCAAATGATGATCTAAAACATATCATGTTTTGCAAGAATTTTATTACTAAAAATGGGATCGTGTTATCAACCACCGTTCTTTTTCCACATACTGTATTATAGTTATTAAATCGATGTTGAGTACAAAGAAACTATGATATTCCACAATAATAGATTTACAATGCTATGAGAGATTAAAAATATTACAATTCGCGAATTAACACTTCTCAAGTTAATTCTTCTTAATTTCGACCTTGAAATTTATTTAATATTTTCATCGACCCATTTCTTAATAACGTCAATCAAAGCATCTTCCATCTGTTGATAAACAAAAAAATGATCCACATTTTTCAACTTCGCAACGGTCCACCTTTCATTTTCCAATACATTATTATCCTTGATCCATTGTTTATATTTGCTCGCTCTTGTAAACTGATCACTATCCCCAAATATAAATAATACTTTTGTAGAAACGGACGAAAGTAAATTTTTTAAATGTGCTGAATAAACTGATGAATGAAAAAATGTTAGAAACCACATTACAGATAATGGTAAAGATATTAAAATATAGGATATTGTGAATGTATACTGCGTTTGGGATGATGCTAACGATGAAGCTATTAATGATCCATAACTATATCCCTATATCGATTGAAAAGAGAACATTTAAAAAAAAAATCTGAAGAAAAAATACCCCAAATATAAATATATATTTGTTGACTTACAATGATTATGATATGGGATATCTTTGGAATTTCCACGCCATTTATTTTAACGGGATTTTCCAAAAACTTTAATATCGTTCTGAAATCATCACATTCTGGTTCCCCTGACCAACTTGTTCTCCCTTTAGACGTTCCACTTCCTCTAAAATTGAACGCAACTGTCAAATATCCTTTATGAAAAAAGAAATCTTCAACCGTCATAACTACATTATTATTATTATTACCGCCTGTTCAAACATTTAAAATAATCATTAATAAAAGAAATGAGGAAAAAAAATATTAATTAACAAGAACGAACCTAATGGACCATAAGGATGTGATATGATAACAGCTTTAACTTCTTGTTCTGGTACATCTTTGATTTTACGATAAGATAATCTCGCTTCTAATTGAATACCATCATGTATAGAAGGAAGAAAGATCTCTTGACGCGTCATGTTTTATAACAAAGAAAAAAGTTTGAGATGGCGATTTATTTATAGAGAATTTCTGAATAATCAACTCAAATTAATATATATAAAAAAAGAAAAACTTCATTTACCTTTTATTACCTTTTTATCACTAACACGGTTGATCTATGAGACTCGTTACACGAACAAAATGTCAATCTGGACCAAACGGAGATTTATTTCACCGTTCTACCCGGTAGACAATCCTAAATATATTTAAGTTTGTTTCGAGACATGATCACATTCCTCCTTAAAAATGGGAGTATTTAATTCTAAACAATCTACAACAAAATTACCGGAATATCCTCATTTAAAAATTTCAAATTTTCCGAAATCTGAAGGAGAAACTATAACACTCAAAGATGGTCGGTTATTAGGATTTAAAGAGTACAAATTTCAACATAAAACTTCACATCCAATTGCAAATGATTTCAATAAGGAACAAGTTATATTATTAATTCCTGGTTTGCCCAGTTCAAGATTCTTTTGTCACCCACAAGTTCTCGCTTCTTTACCAAATAATCTCTCTTCTCATAATGATAAATCAAATGAATCATTATCTGATAATAATACTTTACAGATTATATTATATGTATTAGAGAGACCAGGCATTGGTTTATCTACTTTTATTAAGGGATCATTTTTGGATTTTGCTCAAGATATTAGTGAATTCTGTGTTCAAAAACATATTACGAATTGTTCTTTAATAGCATACTCTGCTGGTGGTCCATACGGTCTTGCCGCTGCTTATGCTATAGGAAAACCTTCTTTTAACTCTAATAAACCTTTAATTACAAAAGCGGCTATTATTAGTTCAATTGCACCTTATAATGCACCTAATCTGACTGTTAACATGCCTTGGACATTAAAGCTTGCTTGGTGGTTAACAAAGAATGGAATTGGATTATTATCAGCGATAGCAAGAATGGAATCATATACTGATATAAAAGATCCAGTTAAAGCAAGTAGAAATGGTCTTAGCACCGGGCCCTCATCAGATTTAAAATGTGTTGAAAATATTGAAGGGGTTGAAGAAATGTTTATTGAAAGTTCATTAGAGATGTATTCTAGAGGTCAAATTGAAACTGAATGTTATGAATATTCTTTATGGGGAAAAGATTGGGGGTTTCAACTGAATGAAATTTGTGATGGTGTAAAATGTAAAATTTGGCATGGCGAAGAAGATTGCAGAACAACGGTTTCTATGGGTAAATATATTGCTGAACAGATTCCTGGTTGTGAAGCTAGTTTTGTTGAAGAAAAAGGTCATTATCTTTATTTTGAAGTTTGGAATGATGTTGTTGATTGGTTGATCACGTCATAATGTAATTTATTAATCAATAAAACATTTTTTACCTCGCGTAATAATATTTTTAAATGAGTACCTTTTTGCTTTACACAAATTAAACTTTGTATGAAAAGAAAAATCCCAATGATGGAAATTGCGCAAAACTGAAATCCGAATTAAAAATTAAAATTTTAATTTAATTTAAGCATGATTATAAGGATTAATTACCATCATAATTATAACATCACCTACCATCAATAAAAATCTTTGAACTGGCTACCTTGTAAATTCCTAATTAAGATTAGTGTTCTCCTAAACACAATTAGTTTATCATTCTCCTTTTTTCTTTTCTATGATTCCAGATTATTTCTATTCATTCATAGTTATTGTCTCTTCAGCGATAAAAACCTTTGATGGCATAACTTTTCTCCATTTCTGCTTTATTCCATGTTGTCTTTAAATAGAACTTAACTGTGAGAACAGCTTTGTGAGTTAGTGAGATAGTGCCTGTCTTTGTTTGACAGTTGTGAGAAGGTAAGTGGTCAATTGTGACGGGCAAAAGGTTCCTTTCGGAGCCTTTTTGAAATTACCGTCATTTGGAGAATTTTAATTGATTCTAAATCATTTTTGCATCACGCAACACGAGAATGATCTCACGCGAATTTACTCTCACGTGACAAATTTTTGTATCTCAACCCGACTTATACGGATCCATTGAACCTTCAAAAGATAAGATGTAGGTTTAAAATTCTGAAATGTAAAAGGCTTTTTGTTTACAGGTAAATTTTATTCTACAATTATGTTAATTCATATATCTCATACATCGTTTTTTCTTATAAAGACGTTATCTCCGTACCAGAATTATATAAAATAGTGGATGAAGTATTGGTAAACGCTGCTGACAACAAGGTATATGTTTGTGTTATTTTAGTCATTAAGTTGTAATGATTATTTTAATTTTTGTTAATATCAGATTCGAGACCCTATCAAAGTTAATATTGACAAAGAGAAGCGCAAATTTCCATTATAAATATGGAAAATGAATAATACCTTTTGAAGTGCCCAATGAAGAAAATGTTAACATCTTCAAATTATGATGATAACGTCAATCTTCGGTCGGATGTGAATGTATTAATGAACGATGGGAAATTGTGGTCCTTCCAACATTGCTATTAAAATCGAATAGTAAATCATATGATCCGTAACGTGATTTTAATAGCAAATTTCCCATACGCTGGTCCTATCCTTCTTTTGGATATCAATTCCACGATTACTTCCGTTTTTTTTTTTTTTTTCGTTACTTGATCTTGCATTAATGATTATTCGAAAAATCTTATAACTCCAGTATTTTTCATTTATTACAGCACATGTACTTTTAAAGGAGGTAACAAGGCAGTTCAACAAGAACAATTAAGCATTAAAAAGAACCATATCAACAATCACTTGGATAGTCGTCAAATATTTGATTGAAAATCCAAACTCTTGAATCTCAGACGAAAGAAAATCTTACATTAAAAGCGACACGCATTATCATAGAGTAAATATTTAATTAATGTTAATAAATTCTTTATTTGATCCTTGAAAATAGTGCTCAAAAGGTGGTATCGTTGATCACATTATAGTAGATTTTAAATTTTATACTTCATAAAGAATTAAATAGCAAAGAAGTAATAAATTATCAATTTAAGAAATGGTAAAAGGAAAACTATATTAAAATCTAATTAAAAAATCTACGAAACTCGGTAAGAAGGTAACTAACTATATTCAATACAAATGGTGAAAACTACATAAATAATTTCATATTTAAAATTCTAAATCCGCCGGCGTTCAATATCACCCTGGAACCCCCGGGCCCGCCACAGGCGTAACGTCACCTGGAGCCCGGCCGCGTTTCTTTATAGTTTTGAGTCCGGTCGCCCCGTAAAATCTGCGACCGGACATTCAAGACGAGCACGCCTATAAGAATAGGTGTTCTTTAAACCTTAAGGTTATAGGAAATAATTTAAGCGGCTCGATAAGAGTGTATATAGTGTATACAGGGTATATCATCTTTTAATATTTTGACGAATATGTTGTCATTTAAATGTGAAATATTTCAATAAGTTTTTGATAGATGAAGTTGAAGTTTCTTTTTTTGTTTTGTTTCTTTTTTGTTTTGGGAGTTTTTTTTTTGAACTTTTTTTTTTTTTTTTGGAGACTTTTTATTATGAACAAACAATGGGAAAATAAAACAATGTGTGTGGTGTGACACATAAGTAGATATGCAAGATAACAAAGATAACGCCAAATTTCCCCAAAATTATTAAAATAAAAGATTATCAAGAGGATCTTTTGACTTCTGATGTTCAAAAATACAATGTTTATTATGCACAATGTGATCATATTTGATATACACAGATAATTTCAATCGTTTTTCACAAGCTAATTCGTAATCTTTTTTGAGCAGACTAAAAGCATTATTATTGTAAAGGAAATTACAAATGTTTAAAAGTTTTGGAAACAAATAAATTTTGGTTATATTAAATATATATTACCTTTCAACTTTTGCATGAACTTTTATCCTTGGTTTTGTAGACTTTAAGCTCACAATGATAAGGTACTTGAAGCCGATATTGACAGATCAAGAGCAAAATCAGATTTATTAACATGAATATTGATGATAAATTCCGATATGAAGGCCTTGAAAGGGCAACGATCATTAAATTATTGGAGTCCCATTGCTTTGAAAGATATATTAAGATTGAAGTTGGTGATTACGATGAAGAATGAGGAACCTTTTCCAGATCATGGATATGATTATTTGATGAAACATGACATTATGGACTTTTTGTAAGATCTTTCATTGACAAAAAGAAATAAATAAATAAAAAATTACGGTTTTATTTTATAATATTAAGATGATGCGCACATTTCTTTTACGTATAGTTGCAAGAACTTATGAAAAAACAAGCCGAGATGGAAGAACATCTTCCCAACAGAAGCGGGAAGAGGATTCAGATAATTTTTCCGAACCTTGGAATGTAAGTCGATTTTTTTTTTTTTTTTTATGGAATATATTGCCAAAAATTCTAAAATCTGAACATCATTTACTTGGAAAGAATAAAAATTTTTTTTTTTCCCACCACCCTTTCTACTGCAAAGCATTCCTATATATGTAAAACAGTAAATAATAATAATAATATTATTATTAAATAAATTACAGGTTATTCTAAGGCAGAATCGGCATATAACTAGGGTCCACGGGATACCTACCGAGGAATCAGATGATGACATGGAAGAAAGGGAAACATCATCTGTTGAATCGACTGATCTGATGATGATGATGAAAAGGAAATATCATATTCCATTGATCAATCGCTTTGATAATAAAGAATTAAGGAAACTCTTACGTGTTGAGGTTGATCTATACGAAGGTATTGAAGAAACATTCCTTGTAAAAGGTGTGATATATTTCATGCTCATAATATAGATGATGAGGAGTATGAGTATAAGATGAATAATAAGAATTTTTTTTTTTATTTATTTTTTTTTTCCCTTACTTATTCATTAAATAAACTTATTTGTTTATATGATATTAAATCGTTGTTCATGTAATAAAATATTCCCAGAACTTTAAAAAATAAAATTATTTTAAAAGAGAACCTAAATAAATGACTATTACACGCAGCCCACCAATATTTAATAAACACGAGATATTCCTCGTGACATTGGGATCTATTATTGACCAATCGATCAACGATCTCGCAAACTCCGTGTAAAGAATCGGACGGCCGATGAAATTAAAAAATAAAGAAAACGATTCATAACAAAAAAAAAATATGATGGGAAAAAACGACTATAATGTGATGATAACAAAATGTATTAATGGTATTTATTATAAAAATAACATAAATGACAAATATGTTGTGATAAATAAATTATGTTAGTTTTAAGTAATACAAAATCAAATAATTCACTAATATCTAAAAAAAAAAAATATATTGAATTAAATTTTTTTTTACAATAAAAGAAACAATAAAAAAAAAAAAAAAAAAAAAAAAAAAAAAAAAGACCGTGTTTATAATTAAAAATTTTGGTTGGTTTCTTATTATTTTTTCTAAACTTAAAAATATTTCCGATATTTCCAATTTCAGACTTTTTGTTGGAACAAGAAATCCACATGCAATAATTCCAAGAGTTATTTGTGGTAATTGATCGCAATAGGTTCCCGTACGGATTAACATTTTATTTCTAAATTTTTTTTTTTAAAAAAAAAAGAGGTTTCTCACCAATAAAAAAAAACTTTCCAAAATAAAATTAATTAAAAAAATCTTCCAACCAATCAAGACATACAAACCTTCTCTCCTTGAATTCATAATATTATTATTTATTGACCATAAAGATAGATCTCCATAATAATCATAAAGAAAATTTTAAACATCCGCGCATCCAATTTGATAATGCACAGGTATTAAGGTTTTGGGTTTATATTTAAGAAATGCGCCAATCCTTGAGAAACTGCTTTAGGATCATTCCATACCTTTGCATCTTTCCTCCCCAATTAATTGTTGAGCCATCGATCAAAGAAATTTAACATAAGAATAATTTCTAAAACAACTGTGTGTGGCTTTACTTTCAGCTTTAAATTCAACGACACACGGGGACGAATACGCAGTCTTTCCTAAGATGAGGTCAACTTTTTTGGGTTACATTTATATCTGAATGTAGTTTTTTTGTTACAAATCAAATGTTGTTATGTCAAAATAATCGTACATTTATAATTGAAATGGAAAAAAGGGTCGGTAAACGAAGAGTTTTATTTTTTATGAAATAAGTTCCTTAAATGGATTCTTGCTCATTTATATTTTTGGAGGAGCTCTGTTAACAAGTTAACAACTTCGGAAACTTTCGCGCTCAAGGTTCTTGTAAATTTAAAAATCAACTTCCTGAACGGACGGGATAATCATGATACTCACAGAAGTAATCCTTTGTTAATTTATGATATAGATGACCCATTATTTTAATTGGTGTTTCAAACTCCTCTTGCTCATGAAAATATTTTAAATTATAGATTAATAAATTTCTTTATCTTAGTGCAATCGGTCCTAATTCTCGTGTCATAACATAAACTGATTATACTCGGATGAATTAATCACTTTTAATTGATGATTTTTTATTTCGTTCGTGTTTATATTATTATACATAAAAAAAATCATTTGATAATATCACAAAAATTCGAAGAAATCACACGAATCACATTGCGTCTCATTAACCTTTTGGTTTGTCACCAATTTCCTGTTTCTTTATACATAACAAAGAAGGAAAAAAAAAAAAAAAAATAAAAAAAGACAAAGAATTTTATGTAATTCGTATATGCAACACATTAAAGAAGTAAAAAATTTTGAAGATCAAATATATGGGGTGAGAATAAACCGGTTAAAGAACCTGTAAATGTATATAATAAAAATAACAAGATTTTAAAATAAATAAATACATCTTATGCAAGTAGAATGTAGTATCCCCCATCAAGATATGGTCATGAAAAAAAGGAAAATTAAAAGACGCGTGCGAAGTATTATAATTACGATATGTTGAAATTCTAGCTCATTCATTTAGTTGACGCATCAATGATGAATATTCATCCCATGTGGTTTTTATCGATTTTTGACAAAGGTCGGAAATTATGGTTTAATTTAATTTTGATCACATTTATCCGGATCAATTAAAATTGCAAGCAAAGAAAGCATCTGTGCGAGAATGTAATACGGGAATTTTTTGCTTTGGCGGGCGCGGGGGAAATGACAATTTCTGATACATGTATTGTGTGTATATTGGTGATGATTGATTTCGTTAAGTAACAGCACAACGTGATGATTTCGAACAACTTGATCTAGTCATTTCTAATCCGCACGTTTTTGATGTGGAAATCAAAATAAATCAATTCTCTTTGATACATTTCCTATTTAAATCTTTAAGAAAAAAAATATATATATATGTGAAACCTTTTAGATTCTGTGCAATATTTGCGATTTTACTGGTTGAAAGCCTCTTAAAACGTGGTGCAGTATTATGCCTTTTCCTTTGAAGGAAAATAAATAACAATGATTTTGTGTCAATTCGGGAAATTTGTTTGAAAAAGATGGCGTCGCTATGAATATCATCATCATAATTATTGATTTTTTTTAGGAAAGATAAATTGTTATCCCATCATCAATTTAATTTATTTTTCTCTCGTCACTCTTAAATTATTTGTTGAAAAAATTGAAAAAAAAATTTATTTACATTTTAAGACATTCATCAAAAATTTTTTAGGAAATAATCTACCGCCCGTATAACGCACATGTTCTGGTCATTATGTTTTTTTTTTTTTTTAAAAAAAAAAAAATTACCTAAAAAAAAAAATATATATATTATTTTCAATGAATTGTTTCAGATTTCGCTTACTATAAATAGAATATTTAAATGATTCCTTTCAAGTATTTGGCGTCTTTTGGGTTACGTTTAATTTTCTGCAGGAAACATCTCATTTGCTGAGTACTGCCATTGTACAGATTAACATTTACTGCGCGCACAGCTTGTGATACACGCGTACAACAATGTTTAAAAATCCAAGTTTGCAAACTTGATTTTTCTTTAATCTTTCCCAATAAAAGTTCGGAACACCAAAGATTCTTTCCTTAAGTTTTTGTACAAGGAACAAAAAAAAAATGACAACACGTAAATATTTGATGACAAAGGGAAAAAAAAAAAAAAAAAAAAAAACAGAAATGCAACCATAGTAAAGGAAAAATGTAATTTATCTCGCATATTCCGCGTTATCAATTTTAAATTTTCCATCCACCCTTCATTAAAAGTTCATAGATTGATAAAATCAAAAAAAAATCAACTCTAATAGGACTAAATTTTTTTTTTTTTGTAAATAAATTTTGACACTAACCCGAATCCTAACTGTAAAATGGCAGTATTAAAAATACGTGCATGTGCTTACATATTTACACATTTCAACTCGTACTCCGTTTTATATTTATACTCCTGAGTGCAACTGTACGAGTGATTAAGAAGAAACATCTCATGTGAATTACCGCAGTTTATCGATGGTTTTATCGTGACAGTTTCAAGAAAAGCGACGGGCACGAGCGAGTGTACATTCGGGAGAATGATGATATTTCAATAAGGATCAGTAATTATCTGATAGTAATGAATCAAGATACGGATCTTTTTACTAGCGTAGTAAAATTCTCTACGAAAGTCCACCTAAATTAGGAAACTTTCTTATCTCATGTATGTTGCATATCTGTTTGTGCATCAACCCGCCAGTCTCATATCTGAAAAATCGAGAAATAGAATTTGATTCCCCAAGAATTTCACATAAAGTCCCAATGGAGCCTTTTTGTTTTCGTTTTATGTAAGAATCGGTCATCTTCTCATTGACACAAAACTTGTTGATAAAGTATCTTTTGTAGAACATAATTCTTTGAATCTGATTTCAACTGCTTCGTATAATGAAATGTTGCGCGTATCTAAATAATCAAAGGCACGGCATGAACGCAATTAAGAGTCCGATCAGGATCCACCCCAAAAAAATTTTGTGGTTCTTGTTCTGTTTTGTACCATCAAAATAAGACATGAAATGGTACTTCCGTGATTACGTGAAATATTCTTTATTGAGCTTACTAGTTATTAAAGTGACCCTTTTTTTTTTTCTTTCTTTTCGTTATTATATACGCAGTAATTAAAACCATTATGAACCATCGAGTTTAAAAGAATTGCCGGATTTGTGTATTGAATTTCGAACCATGTAGCACAAAAAGAATTAAAGTTTTGGCCTCAAAGGTTATTTGATTAAAAAAATAATGCAAATCTTTTTGATTTAAACCAAATAAGGTTATGTTCTCATTTTTCGATTTTGGTTTTTTTTATATACTTTGATTTTTGCATGTATAAATGTATAAAAAAAAAAATAGATAAATATAAACATATCATATTATTTATCAACTTTTAAGGAATGGGTTTAGAAGGTCCATGATCCATGGTCCATGTACGTACAACCTTGTGATAACATCACAATATTGACCAGGAAAAAAAAAAAAATATATTCTTGGCAAGATTACAAAGAAAATTTTTTTTTTTCTTTTTTTTTTTTTTCGAATCGAACTCATCGATTGCTTCGAATTTCAATTTCCATCCGTCATTTGCTTTGGAATTTGAAATTGAGACAACTTTTTTCGTTAGATGGTTCAAGTTTTCATCTAGTATAAGTTTCACAAAATTCTAGTTTTTTTTTTTTTTTTTTTTTTCAGATTTCTTTGAATCAGGTAATAAAGCTTGCATTTTGTTATGAAATCTCTTTCTATCAAGAGGAAAAAAAAAAAAAATTATTTTTTTAATGAAAATTTAAATATTACCATTAGCGAAAAACCTGTTTTTGTTATTCTTATAATAATTATTTGTTAAACAACAACAGTAATAATAAACTAATTACTGAAAACATATGTCCAAATTTGAATTAATTTGTGTACATTTCTTTGTATACAAATTCATATATGCACATGTTCTGTTCTTTGTATTCAAACCAATTAAAGATTCCTTACACAGGTTTCTGTTTTTATAATGTCACAAAAATAATTATACAAAAGTTGGGCAAATTTTTTATTCTTTTTTTCTTTTTTTAAAAAAAGCTCTCGTGTGTCAATTTTTAGAATTTCTTTGTCAATGTCCACCAAAACTACGAACTGTCCAATGCGCAGATTATCTATCACAAATTCATTTTAAAGTTGCATATATTTGATGCCGTGTGCTTTTTTGAATTTTTAAGAATTGTGAAACAGCACTTATCCCGAGTCGTGATACGTTCCACCCAATCATCACTTTGAAATTAAGGTGACAAACGAAGAGGTGATCATTCACAGATGTCACACACACATTAATTATGTTGTCCAACCATGTCGGATTAATTAACGCCCGTGCTTTATTTGGTTTTGAATTTTTCGCGTTCGGGTGACTTGCTGCGCCTTCATGCAAATGTCGTGATCCATACCCTAATGACATTCAACCCTTGTCAAATATGGTTAAGGTGGAATCCGCAGCATCAATGAATTGGAGGTCCACGCTGTGATACCTTGTTTATCGATCGGATTAACCGAAACGCACTCTTCAATTAGCACGTTTGGAGACCCAAAATTTACGCCCTAATAAAGATACGCTCATCTTTAATAGAATGTTGAAAAAGGATTTGCGGGAGATAATGCCTGATTACTTTGTCAAACCTTAATTCTCATTCTGATTCTCATTATTCTCATTTGAATACATTATTTCAACATCCAATCTCGGAGTTTATTTTTTCGCCCATTTAACTACTACCCGAAGCGGGGTAAGTTCGGGGTTCCATAAAATTATAATCTAAATATTGAACGGGATTTGGAAATTACCCATGAAAAACAAAAATGATAAAATGATGGAAAACCGGGTTAGACCGGTATGGGAATTTAACTTATTTTTAGAAATTAAATAATAGTAATATTGTGATGATATATTTATATGTAAATAAACAAATAATTAATTCTGTCTCGGTAATTTAATGTCGGCTCGTGACTTTTTTTTGTTCACCGCAGCGAGCGATCACATCTCCACAGTTGTGAAAGTGTCTCGGGAAAATGTCATTGGGCGAAATCCTAACAATACCCGTCCGGAATAATCGATCACGTGGCATGATGAACTATGATCGGTTTGGAAACGATTCTGTTTATTAAAAACGTTTTGACGTTAGATCAAGATCCATTTCCGAACCTGGCCTGGCTTATGTGATGTGACGTCTTCGACAAAGGTGGGCTGTTCGCCCGCATTTAGGGAGAACAAATCCCCCCCCCCCCTTGGATTTATTAAAAAATTTTTAAGGTTTTTCTATTACCAAATTTGTTTAAAATTGTTCAGGAAGATCCGTTTTCCCGACTTCACAAAACACGAATACTCGTTTGACGTTATAATGCTACGAGGAGATAAAGTTGCAAATAAATAAGCGGGGACGCTTTTTCCATTTGGCGCATTTCTTCTTTGGATTCAAAGCCCAATGAATCATGTGAGGTAATACAAATAAATAATGATGAAACGATTCGATCTGCATCTAGTGGAATCGTCGGTACACTAGTTTTTTTCACATGTTAAATACGATTCCCATCACCTTCCCTCACGTTGGGAATTCTTTTTGTCCTTTAAATCATTCACGACATAATCTTCCATTAAAGTTTGAAAATGAATATCAAAAAAAAAAAAAGCTAAAATTAAAAGACTCACCCTTCATTATCTTAAATTTACCACATGGTATTTTAACCAACTGGAAATCTTTTTTTTTTTTTTTTAATTTTAAAAAGATTTACAACTTTGTTTTTATTTTGATTTTTTTATTTTAGTAAGATCCATACACCCCATTGAAATGTCGGTTTTTTAATACCTTTTAGTGCATAAAATACCCACATAACTTAAATCTCATTCTCCTAAAAAAAAAAAAACTATTATTACAAAGGTAACTTCTAAAAATCATTTAGATACATATCGTGAAATTTTAATCGGGATTAGTTTCAATTTTCCATGATGTAATTTCGCTAACCAATCATGGCGGATTTTCGTTAATCGTATTTTAGTCGAGAAATTTATGTTTGACTTTGGCGTAAAATTACAAACTTATTTGGTTAGAATAAGATAACAACAAATTAGTGAATGATTGACCCTTTTGGATTAGCTAACATTATTTGGGTTGGTTATGTGCCATGTGGTTTTACTGGTAAATAGCAGAAATTTGTTGTTGGTGATAAGATGAAAAGTGATTTATTTTTCAAGCGTGAGATTTGGAAAATGTGATACTTACACGAGACAAGGTATTCATCACCAAAAAAAAAAAAAATTTATAGCTAATTAAACTTTTTGAAAAATGACACTCGTTCTCGCTTTTTAGGGTTTCAGAAATTGCCTTTCGTTTAATCACATTCATGCATCATAATCCATAATCCCAATCAATGATAATTAATTAATTAATTAATTAATTAATTAATTGATTATATATACCTTTCATGCATAAATTTCATTTGCAATGTATTAAAAAAGCACACCTGTTTTTTTTTTAATAATCCTTTTTTCCTTCCCTCCTCAATCAATTATCAGACAAATCATGATTTGCTATTGTCAATGTTGGTAATTGCAAAAAAAAAAAAAAAAAAAAAAAAAAAATTTTTTTCAAGTTTGGTCGAGTATTTCCACGTTAGCGTGGTTAGGTAAGAAAGGAAAGTTCTAAAGATTATCTAATTATCTCCGTATCTCGTAAACAGATTGAACAAGATTTTTTTTTCAATGTACATGAAAGTGTAAAAATGTAAAGTAAAAAAAAAATTCCATCTCGTCTAAAATAAGATAAGCCTCCAACATTTTTAATAAAGAAAAAATTAAACACCCTTACATAAGGTTCCAATCAACAACAATTACTTGAATTTACATGTAAATATACACACACAATATCTCTCTCTTATATATATGTTTATGTTTGTAACTCCACTCAATTTATCTATGTTAAGAACGTTATCCGATATGAACTTGTGCGGCACAATAAACCAAACTTGTTTGCTTCAATTAACTTTGAACATTTTTTATATACATCAAGGAAAATAAAAAATCTAAGCAATGTACATATATTTTGTTTATTGTAAAAAAGGTTATCTTGCCGTGATGGGGTGGGTGAAACAACGAGGTGATGATTTCGATCGAAGTTTCAGCTGTTTATCAAATTGGATCTCGACCAATGACTTTTTGACAGGTTTGCTCATTGGATAGCATTTCAAATAAGGTCGCCAAGAAGTCAAATCCAATTTTGGTAATTTATATGGTTTATCGCATTGCTCGCGGTACGAGAAAGACGAAGAAAATGAAAAACCTTTGGTCCGGACGATCATGACAAATTTTTTTTTTTTTCTCAACAATCAAGAGAAATTTCTTTTTGACCTCCATGAGTCCTAAACCTTATTCTATCAAAATAAAAAAGTAAAATAAAATAAAAAGCAACAAATATGCAATGTTAATTAGGTGCATGAAAATGTGTATTATAAGGGATAATAGGTTTTATTGTTTCAAATTACGTACCTTATTTTTTAAAGTGTGTGTTACACATTGTAAAAACCCCATATCTTTCCAATTTGTAACCGACACCTAAACGTAAAATTTACAATGGCTGGCTAATCTCTCTTTTAACCAGTAGGAAAATTGTTTTATCGGTCGTTTTAAGTATTTTAAGTATTACGCGAAAATAAGCTATTATAGATTAAATTGACGATTCAAAGAGATTCGGGTTTCATTTTGACTTGAAGTCGTCGTCACTTGATATTTGTCATGTGTGCCTTTTAAAATCCTCATGCAATAGAATTCATCCCATGCATTCATTGTCTCAGCGTGCATGAACGTTCTTATCGAGTCGGTCCTCGTTGTCAAGATTCATTCACTCAATGGACTCGTGAATCCTTCGTTTTGTAGGTGAAATTTATCTTAACTTTTTTTTTTTCAATGTAAGACAATGGATTATATTTGGATTATTGAAAATGATGACTACTATAAAAAAAATGTGTATATGTAATGATATCTTGTCATATATATATGTTCAATGATTTCTCACCCCCTTAATTTTTTTCGTTTTGTCTTTGTAATAACGCTAAACTTTATATGTCAGTTTGTTCGAGACCCACAAAGAAAGAAAAAGCCCACGCAAAAAAAAAATTTCGCTTATCTGAAAAAAATACTTATCGCATCGTTCAAAAAAAATCAATTTTTTTTAACGAATGAGAAGAAGGTTCATCGGCATCCAAAATACTAAATTTGTACAAAAAATGGGAACAAATGAATTCTCAAACCAGATTGTTTTCAATTGTAAAATATCGATGATAACATTCTGCTTTTTTGCCTTACCTGAAAAAAAAAAACATAGCTTAAAGTTTGTAACCTTTTTTCACTTTAATAAATTATGCAATGCATAAGTGAAAAAAAAAAAAAAAAATATTAAATTTTTTTTTTTTATAGATTAAGAAACAACAATAGCCCCCCTTCAAAACCCGCCCAAACCTTATAGAATTCGATAACAACGAAAAACCCCAACCACGCAGACCAGGGATTTACAGTGTGCATTTTTCCATTCATTCTCGTTCACGGCTAATATTCCGCTAATAAATTGACGCAATATTAGAAAGTTATCCAGCTAAACTTAAAATACATTGATCCCTATAGTTGGTACTATGGCCGATACAAATCGTGTCACAAGCTCTTATTGAATGACGTATTTCTAGCTATTGTTTATTCCATTTTTGTAACAGAAATATAAAATTTTCAAACCCTATTTTCTGGAAATTTCCTATAAACAATCCTGTTAAAAAAAATGCTTTGGATTGATTTAGCCACAAGTAATACTTTTATTGCGCCGGACAAATGGAAAAAAGTAAAATTTTGAAATTTATACAGCCAATGGTCTTGAACCCATGACACGAAAAAATAACTATACTACTTCCCTTCATATTGTTCTTTTTTTTTTTTCTTCCTCCAAATAGGAATCAATGCAAGCTTGAGATGAATTGTTCTCAGTGAAATCCTGAACATAAACGAGAACTTAATTTCGTCATTGGTGTTTGAAGGAACGGCTTGATTTCCGACCAATAATCCAAGTTTCATTTAATCAGCGACATATTATTTCATCTCTAATTTGGTCAATCCAAAGAACATTTTCCAAATTGTATGGATCCGTTGCGCTTACCTATTTTAGGTCAGACATCCACTATTATCTACGGACATGATATCATGATGTGATATGTGATATGTGATGTGCGGTGATATGTGTGAGGTGATTGCGAGGTGATTAATTAGCAAAATGTATTTTTTTTCATTGTCACATTCCTTTGGAATTAGATTTGAATCATCTTTAAAATCAAAACGTAAAGTCCATTTCAATAACAATAACAATAACAATAATAATAATAATAATAATAATAATAATAATAATTTCTTTGAAAGGGGTAAAGAACTAAAGGAGAAAACCTCCTTTTTTTTTTTTTATTTATATAGTGAATAAATTTTTTTTTTTTTGGAGTAAAAACCACTTCTAGTTTTGTTGTAAAATTTTGTTTTTACTGTAAATGAAAAAAAAAAAAATAAAATAAAATAAAATGATAAAATAAAATGAAATAAAATGAATATCAGTAATTATTTTAATTATTTATGTTATGCGGGAGGGAGATATCGACTAATGTAATAAAGTAAGCGAATTAACGCCACAAATTGTATTAATTGAAATAAAAAAAAAAAAAAAAAAAAAAAAAAAAAAATAATAATAATAATCAAAAGTATATTAGTTTTTTAATTTATACATTTATTTCAATTTGAAATTTTTGAATGAGTGAATTTAAATAAATAGTGTGGGTTATATTCCTTACTTCCAACCATAAAAAAATTTTTTTCTTCAAAAAAAAAAAAAAAAAAAAAAAATAATTTCATAATCAAAATAATATTTATCTTCATTATTCCTCACCATAAGCGAAATTCTTCGTCTTTTTCAATACGCGAGAATAATTTTTTTTTTTTTGTGAAGAAAAAAGTTTTTTATTTTATAACAATTTTTACATACATATTCCCTTTTTTAAATTTTTCCAAACAAAAAATCATTTTTATTCAACCGATAATGAGCACAACCACTACAACTACAAAAACCTCCATTGCTAAACCAATGTTTTTAATAAAAACCACGTTTGATAATACAACCACAATAACACCCGTCATGGCTACTGCTTCGATGGCTTCTTCTCATTCTTCATCAGCAGGTTCATTGTATCTTCCGATACAACAAAAAAACAAAAAGCATCATCGTCTTCAACATAAACATTTACGCAAGCCTCAGTCATTTGACACTTATCTTCCTACTTCAACAACCACCCCTTCTTATGGCTATTATACGAGGTCTGCTTCGCTGTCTTCTTCGTGCTCCTCAACTTCTTCCCTGGATTACAATGATTTTTCCACAGAAGATATGATGTACGGATATGGTTCATCAAAATCACCGAATTCCACACCGTCAATTCAATCGTGTCCTCGCCTTCGAAGGGGATCGTCCGCCGTAAAGTTGGTTCGGTTCGCTGGAGCTGAAGCTAACGATGACGAAAGTAGCATTGTTAGTTCAAGCAGTAGCAGCAGCGCTGATGATTGGGATCCACGAGAAATTGAAGAGGAGGATGATGAGGTCTTTTTTGTTTCTCAACCACGATCATTTCATCTGACTTTTCACAAGAAATCTCTAACATCTTGAGCAAAAACAAAAATTTTTTCACATTTCCTATTTTTGGTTTTGTTGGTTTGACTAGCTTTTTTCAACACAGACAAACGAAATTTGGAACAAACAAATGAACATTTAACATTTTCTTTTCTTTTTTTTTTATAATTATTCTTATCGTTTCTTTTATTTTCAGATTGGTGGTGGGTTCGTTCAAAAATCAAAAAAAAAATCAAAAAAATTTCCTCTTTAAAATTTTATTCGTCTTGAAGTTTTTCTTTCAAAACAAAAAAAAAAATTCAAAAAAAATAACACAAATATTTCAATAAAAACAGAGAAGCGAGCTGAGATTTAAAATACGAACTCAAAAAACTTTTGTAAATACTGTACATCGATTTAGTATTATTTTTTTTTTTTTCTCTATTTTTTTTCTTTCCGTCGATTTCATTTCTTAAGTTAAGGATATTATTATTCACGAACATTTTCCAATCAAACAATTCAGATTCATCATATAATCCCAACTTTTCAATTTTAACTTTTTTTCGCACGTACCCCTTTTCTTGGTTACCCAACAATGATCATTGGCCCGACGCCTTTACTTTTTTTCATGATACAAAAAAATAACATAGTTGTGCACTAACAAACAAATGACAAATAAAGCAACCCCTCCAAAAATATATAACTTTTTAAAAAAAAATATCTGTTAGTAGTAGTAATTTTAACCCCGTTTATAAACCTCCGTTTATTTTTATTTTCGTTGGCGTAAAAACCCAAACAAAGAAAAACAATTTTTACGAAATCGTAATTTTAAGTTAGATCTGGTGGAGATTTTAATGATGGTTAGCAAGAGAGAAAGAAATGGAAGGAGGAGGAGGAATGGAGGAGGGAAAACAAAAAAAAACAAAAAAAAAATCCCAAAAAAATTAAAAAAATTAAAAAATTGTAAATCATTGTTCCTTAGTTAAAGAAAAATAGTTCGTTTTTTTTTCTGTAATATATAATTTTGTCTATTTGTAAAAAAAAAAAAAAAAAAAGTTGCAAATAAAATTTTGCGTTTTGAAATCATAATATATATGTGTGCGTTATCATGCGTTTTCTCGTGTTTTTTTTTTGTGGCGTGTTTAAAGTGGATAAATTTCCAAAGTATAAAGTTGGAGCATGGCGATTTTTTTTTTTTTTTGCGTAAACAACAATTTAGTTCTTTCCCGCCTTTTATTGAAACGCATTCATTTTTGTTTTTATTTTATTATATTTTATTTTATTTTTTTTTTTTTTTGGATCACGTCAGTGCTTTTTCTCAGCGTAACCATTGCACACAAATAAAACCTGTATTCCGTTCAAAATAAGTATGATATCATACGTCTTTTTCGCATTAATTCTTCTGGGATGTTTTTCAATCTAGAAAGAATCTTTTCTTTCTTTTTTTATTACTATTAATTTTTTTTTTTTTTTAAAAAAAAGGAGACACTAGATAAGGTATGTAAGTATAAACAAGTAAATCATTACTAAATCCATTTTCCTTGTTTGTAAAATAACATGTATGCGGATGTAATATAGATTCTTTATATATTTCACTTTTGGTGATTTTATATTGGAACCATAGTTCCCTTTCTCGAAATGTGTACATGGAAGATCTTCATTTACCAGAAAAGAGAATGATAATGAAACTCCATAACCACCAAAAACCATCACTTCGACATAATTGGCAAGTGACTGTTAAGAAAACCGCAAAAAATCGGAGGTTTGCTAAATACGGCCGAAAAGCGACAAATGAAGCGATTCGCTTGGGGTTGGTTGATGCTTCGCCATCAAGCGTAAGATCGAATTATTCCTAATGCGTGCGTTATGCGGATATGCGGGTCATGCTATTTTACCAGAAAAAATAAACATACCAGTATTACAAAGGACGGGCAAGTTGGATATATTAAATACATTTCTGTAGATGTGTTATATGCGTTATACAGGGTAATTCCAACCTTAATCAGAATTCAATGATACCCGTGCATGAATTTTATGTATGTTTTCGTCAGCGAACATTTTTTTTATTGACGATTGGTTTTTGTCCAAACAAAAAGTTAGGATCAAAGAATCCAAAAAGTTTATTTTGCCACACATCTCTTTTTTTCATATTGTTTTATCAATGATTGTCTAATTTTTTTTTTTTTTTTTAAATTAAATAATGTATATATATATATATTTTTTTTTTTTATCTTTTAATCTAATTTTTTTTTTTTTTTTTTTTTTTTTTATAGGGGCAAAAGGTTTATTTCTTTATCTCAAGGAAGAAAATAATAATAATAATAATAATAACAAACCCTTGTTTAACTTTTTTGCATTTTTGATTCTTTGAATAGGAACTTGTTTTTTTTTTTTACCATAATTTAATTATATTCGGGTGATAAATGATTGGTATTCAATTTTTAGCCATTTAAAATAAATCAGCCGAGAAACTTTTTTAAAAAACGGCAAAGTTGTTGAAAAACAGGAAAGAAAGTAAGGAAAAATTGGTCAAAAACAATGCATGTATGACATCTGTATGGTTGTTAAATCGAATGATCCAATCAAGAATCGACCAGCTTTGCGATTATCACAAACGAAACGAGGGAGGGTTTTCGAGACAAGAACTTGCCTACCCAACCATGTGAAATTAATAAATGACACTACCCATTACATAACCATCAACATTTGACAAATGGAAAAAAAAAAAAATTAATAATAATAAACATTGGCAGGATTTCGAACAAGAATAAAAAAAATTTTTTTTTTTTCTTTTTTTTCTCTTTTTGTTTTCTTATTTTGTTTTATCTTGTCTTGCGCAGATTTTTTTTTCCTTTTAAAAAAAAAAAAACCTCGGCCATTAAAGGATTTGTCGAAAAAAAAGAAAAAATGATTAACGTTACATTATTAATCGCGTATTACGATAATATTTACAAAAAAAAATAAAAAATTATTTAAGTATTACGGTAATTAAATATTTACCCCACAGTATTTACCTTATTATACAAACAAAAAAAAAAAAAAAGAAAAAAAAATTTATTGAAAAAAAAAATGAAACCATATGACACGCCTATCGAGTTAATTTCTTGATTTTGTTGATGATATTACATAACACACATAACAACAAATCGGCAAATACTTGATTCTGAGCTTTTTATTATCGGATAAGCTCGTCTTTGGTTACATAAGAAAAAAAAAAAAAATTCAGGTTTACCCCCACTTTTAAAGAATTTCATACACAAAATCAATTTTTTTTCAAAAAAAAGAGATTAAAAATTATTTAAAAATGTATTAATTAATTGTTTACGTTGATGACGAGATTATGCTTAATTGTTTATCTAACAAAAAAAAAAAAAAAAATCTTTAATTGACCCATGGTATCAAAGGATCTTTTGCGTATTTTACGTGAGATTTTTTTTTTTATTTTCCTTTGACGTTTGGTGGCTTACTTTAGTAAAGCTTGTGATTCAAGTGATTCAAGTTGTAATCTCTAAATGCAAAAGTGGAACAAAACGGAAATGGCTTCTCACGTGATGATCATATTATCAGATTCCACGTGCGAGCATTGTGGGGATTACTATCGTATCGTATAGGAAAGAGAATTCATCGTCAAACACAATACTCTGAAATCTTGATAACAATCATTCATTCTTTCGGGGTTAGATAGGATCTTCGACATTTTGTTCAGAAACAAGTTTAAAAGTTATCGAAATCGAGTGCAGGGACCTTCGATGCGATGAATCGGTTCACTCAGACTCCAATCATGTGGACGCGCAATCATGTGGACGCGCTATCATGTTGACGCAGCAACTATCCTGCTGATCAACTGGTTTTTAGAGTTTCTCTCTTTTTTAATATGTCTAAAAATCTGAAACTTTAACCAAACAAGAAAGTTTTGAACCCTATTGGATGGGTTTTGCCTCTAAACAAATTTGTATTCATGAAATTGATCTACTCGATAGTAGTCATGGAATAACCCCCATCGTATGATATACACTCGGTAATCCATAAAGAAAACCTTAAAAAAAAAAAAATTAATTTGGACGAAACATATGAGCAGCAGTGAATCCCGATGATGCCAAATAAGGAAACCATCAAAGTGAATCATAATTAGTACAATTTCAAATGTCGATACACCACTCGAAAATCCATCAGAAGCTGCGCCACGTCCTATATTTTCTTTGACGCGTGCTATTTATAAATATCATCTCACGAATAAAAGATTCCAATCTCTTATTCTCTTTTTGTCGAGAGAGATCCTTGTTTTAATGACAACATGACATTCATCTGAATGGCTAAAAAGAACCCCTGAATCGCAATTTCCTATTTCGTCATAATCAGGAATTTTTGAGGGATTTTCTTTACAAATTTTTTCTTGATTTATGATGTTCATTTAGCGTGAATGTAAAGTTGTCGAAAGTCCTTTACAGAAAGAAAAACCAGCTAGAATTTGATGAATTTCCCCAAGAGAAGAGAGTTTCTTTTTCGCAAAAGGTTGCAGAAGAACGGTTAGTTTCGGGATGATGTTTCCTTATACGTGCATTTCATTCCGTAAATATTTTGCTCACCTGATTTTATACAGCAAAAAAAAGAATACTGGATTATGTTTATTGGTGTGAGCGACCAAGAAGATGAAGTGAAAGGAGATTGGTGTTTGCTTGAATTAAAGCATGCATCATATGTTATTTGTGTGCATATGGAAGAAATTTTTTCGCCAAAGAAAAAAATAAAAATAAATAAACAACCATTTTCTATTAATTAATTTTTTTAAAAAAAAAAAAAAATTTCTTAAATTTTTTTTTTTTTTTTTTTTTTTTCCTCTACTATTTTACTTTACTTATTTGGATGAACATTGCATTTTTGATCAACTTTTTGCCGCAATGGAAAATTACTTTAATTTTATTTAGGAAAATCTTAATTGGAGTTATTCCGAAATTGCCAATAAGATGGTTGGGATAATTCTGTGAAAGTCTCGGGGAATATACCATTTTCTCCTTTTAATAATAATATTAGAGATTTCTATGAAAAAATTATTAATATCATGTCATAATAAATTAATTGGATTTAAAAGAAATTAATGAAGTGTAAACAAAGTGTAAATAAACACACTTGGACCACCTAGCATCGTTCATTTCCCTTTCATCCCTTTGTATACAATCCTATTCGAGGCGAACGCCTTCTTTTCTCACTCGAGTTATCTAACCATTCTGAGCTTATTACGTAATTTCACCTTTAATTTGTAAAGTGTAATATTTATTTTTAGATGTCGATAATAAAGATGATGAGAACTTGGTTTTAACATGAAAAATTCAAAAACGGATATTGCCTGATAAATTCATAAAAAAAGTTACCTCTGCGCTAAAAAGAAGACCGATTTCCATATTTGTTCACAATCTCTTAAATGAAAGAATTCCTCTCCCCCCCGAAATCTTGCCCAAAAGTGTGTGGGGGGCTGTGTGATGTTTAGGTATGTCACTCTAGGATGTCTACGGGCGATGAATGTCACAACCACTCAAGGGTGACAGAAAAATTCCAATCACAAATTCATCATCACTTTTATGAAATATAAAAATTAAAATTTTAATTTAGTTGAATTATTATGAACCCTAAAAGATTAGTACGAGTTTTAAATTATTTCATAATCCTTTCTGTTATAACTTGATTGAGAACAAGGCGACGATAATAGAATTCGTGAAATATATTTGGGAAAGAAGGGTATAGAATAACAACAAATCTCATTCTTTGTTTATAAAATTGACTCCTAAATAAAATTTAGTAAAGTTAACATTACGAAATTTCTAATTATATTGTTAGATTCGAATTCTCATTGGTTTTTTATTTATTATTTATTGAATAAATATTTTCTTTTTTTTTTTTGTTATGATATTCCTTTAAACGAAACATTTACAGTAAATATGACACTCGCTTATTAATCTTTTGATATACAAAAGATAAGCTTCACATTTTAATAAAGGAGAAAAGAATTTGGTTAATTAAAAATTCATTGTAAATTACAGAATTTATTTCTTATTAAGAAATTCATATTGTTACAACTAAGGTAAATTGCCATGATTGTTTTATAATAAATGATCATATGAGCATTGTTGTTTTCCTTTTGTTGTTGATCTTCTTAAAATTAATTTATGTTGAAAATAAATTTATTTTTGAAAATGATCAAAATTCGCGAGCGCTATTTTTTTTTGAACGGTCGATCCTTTAACATAAATTTCACCGGAACGGTTAAATTTGGAAAAAAAAAAAAAAAAAAAAATTAAATGTTTAAGGGTGAATATTATCATTTAATCAAAATCTTTATGCATCTATTTTTTTTTATTTTAATTTTTTTTTTTTTATAAAAAAAAAAAAAAAAAAAAAAAATCCAAAAAAGAAATTTCACGCGAAAGTGTCTTTTTTTTTTGGCCACAAGCTGCGCCTTAACGTCATGGCTGCGCCACGACGGTTCACTACGTCAACGGATGGCGCAAGTTGAATTACCACGTTTTTCTTTTTTGTGTGTGCGATCCTTTAACCGCGAGCACTTTTTTTAGCTTGACAGCTTTTGACAGTTGTTTTGAACTCGTTTTTGTCGAAAATCACATCAAACGAAATAGGTCTTGCGCGTCATTGTTTACATCGCGGTTTTACTAATTGAAGTAAATTACTAGTAGAACTTTTGAACGCAGTGATTCAAAGCTCCTTCCGAAATAGACCGTTTGTGTAATGATAATAAATATGCGTAGGTTGCGCCCACATAACGAGATGATTTATAGATCTAAAAAAAAAACTTTATTGTCGGTGACAATGATAAGGTGTGGTGTAACGTTGACTAACGCTAATCTTTCTTTTTTCAAATCGAGATACTTGCTAATAATAAAATAATTTTTTTCGCTTGATTTACATACTCGGTGAAAATAACCATTTGATACAAAACTAAAAAACCTCCGAATAGTAACGCGTTCATTATCATTTTACTTGAACAATGGCAGTACACGGTTTATGGTAATTTCATATGGTTTCTTTGATTGTTAAAGAGATATCGCATTCATTTTATGCAAGCGATTTGTTCATTCTCTTTGTATGCAATGCGTCATGCAATCCATACGAATAGAAATAGAAATTGTCCGTTATTTTAAAAACTCTAATTTTTTTTTTCCTCTTTTTTTTTTTCTTTTAAATTGACCTGATTGAAATATCACATATATTAAATTGTGTCAGGGCTGAGTCATTAGGACTTTTATGGTTAAGTCATTTTTCTTTGTGAAAATTTGGAATTAAGCTTAATTGTCGTTTTTTACATTTTGGGCGTTGGGTAAAATAAATATCATGTGCTTGGATTGAAATTCGATCACTTTCGATGAAAAATACATTTTTTTTTTTCGATGAATTTCTGACAGAAAATATATCGAACTGTTATTTTTTTTTTTTTTTAAAAAACATCGAACCATTATTTTCTTTCAATTTATCGTAAATTGCGGTTTGAAAACGGTAGATGATCTCATCATCGTCCTTACGGGTGGATCACTCCGTATACGCCAAAAATTTTTTACACAAGGAAAAAAAAAATTTTGGAACCCAAAAATTTATATTAAATTAAATAACGTAACATAAACATTAACGTAATCAATTATAACTTTCTAATATCATATGAAATGTCAAAAGACCATCACTAATTATTAATTAGTCTAGTTTCACGAAAAAAGTTTTTTTTTTTTTTTTATGGCGTAAAAATAATTTGTCCCGTGTAATCACAAAATAAATTAAATTATTACGTAATAATGATGGAAGTTTGCTTTTCAAAACCCCGTCAAGTTTGAAATTGAATATTTATTTGTTTACAATTAAATAACATGGTCGATTAAGAAAATTCGTGAAAACAAATCCCATTGGGCGTGGAAAGTTAAACTAAATTAAATTAGAATAACGCAGAAATATAACAGGCTTTTTTTCATTGATGTTGGTTTTTTTTTTTTTTCACATTGAAAGAATATTTGTTTAGATCGAAAAAAAAAAATGAAAATTAAGAGGGACCTTCTCCAAACAATGTGCACGGATAAAAGTTTGTACCATTAAGGAATGGATCTGATTTTTTTTTCCGAAAAAAAATAAAGTTTTTTGATATTAACCAAATTATTTATTGGTCAACGTCATTGTATATTCTAGATCCCGCTAAATAATCAAAAAATACTCTCATCCTTACGTATTTGTTTCCCGAATACAGGTTTTCGGTCCGTTTAATGCTAACTTTATAAGAAAACCTTTGTTAGTTTTTAAAAAGGTTTTTAATTGAGGCTTATTATTCATGTTTTGGATTATGATATGCTGCAAGATGACAAAAGAACTTTATTCAGATTTAGAATTCTTTATGATTATTAAAATGAAATATTTATCACGATGAATAAAAATTGCCAATTATTATTTTCCCGTCCCATTAATTATGTAAGAAAGTAACAAGTTGTAATATTTCTCGGATCAAGAAATTATTAGCTTGTCCGTGTGATAATTATCGTGATAAAGTAAGGAGTCACGTTCTTCAGAAATCTAAAAGTCCGCTGCGTCATTTTAACTTGTATGCAAACTTAAACTAATACATTTAATGTTGACTGAATTATATGATAAATTCTTTGATGTGCACTCAAACATGCTATAATATTAGAAACGTCCAAAACCAGAATGGACAGCTTCGATTACAATCTCGAGTCTTATTCACAAGTTTCCTAAACTTCGGTGTCCTTTTTGAGTGTCACTTTGTTTGATGGCTGACTTGGAGTACAGAGTTTAGCATATAAAATATTAAATGATTCGTAAAAGATCTCTTGTATTCGTAGAAGCGTTTCCATTTCATCAACAAAAGCTGACATTTCTTTAATCGTGTGACTCGATAAGTAAACCTCCTTCTTTTGCGATGCTTATTGATTCATTCTGATACATCCGGAATAAATTGAGAAACGTTAGTGTTTCCTAAAAAAAATTCGTTAACCGAATTTTCATACTCGAAAGATAGTTCACATGGGATATCATCAATTGCTATAACGCCATCCGTTTCACTCTCCTCTTCAAGGAACGGATTATCAGTGAGCCTTGAGAGTTCTGCCAGCGAATTTCTTAATGTTGGGCTCGGTGACGTTGGCGAAGTATATCTACCTGACTGGTGATTCTGTTTTCTTTTCTTCCTGACATTGTATTCAACATTTGCAAAGTCAGACAAAGTTTCAGATGCTTTATTGGTTCTTTTATGATCTCATTCAATACATTTTTAGATCTTTCATGAAACGAATGTTTATTTGCATTTAGTGATAACATTAAATTTACGAGTTTGCAAGTAAACCTTACCATAATTAAATGTTTATCTGCCTATTATATGAGAAATAAAAGAAAAAGACTTAGAATTAAACTTAATCTTAAATGTGAATAAAGATTGAAGACCAACAAATATTTTTACCTCTATGTTTCTAATCCTTGCAGAAACCTCAGCATCTTTATGTTTGCCTTTCTTTCCAAATCCATTTTACCTTAAAAATCATTGATGTAACCTGCCAGTCTTTACACCTTCCTACAAAAATTAAGTTTTATTTTATACCAACACAAACCCCAAACTATAATAAAATATAACAATCAGGCAAAACTTTATTTTTTATAGTAATAAAAAACAAGGTTAATTCATGATGGTTAACTTTTTGCAATTTATGGAAAGATTTCAGCAGAATATATTTCACTACCATCCAAATACGTATTTCAGTAATAGCTTTAATCCCAGTTGAGATAGGGTGAAATGTATTTCATACATGAGCAAATATATTTCCTCATGATTCCTGTTACAACCACCATATACCTCATAAGAAAAAACTAATCTAATTTTAACTCTACATAATCAAACCCCTTCAACCTTAAAAAAGAACATATCTTAATTTATTTTAATATCTTTTAGATTTTTTTTTCTTCTTCTGATCTTTTCTTTATAAATCACTTTAACTATCACATAATTGTTACTATGATCTTTACCTTATTAATAGATTATTTAGACATGTATCATTTTTTATGATATACTAATACATTTCAAATTTTACATAGTGTGAACAGAAAGTAAGAAAATCAGTTATTTCTGTTTTCTTGATATGGTAATTATTAATATTAATATTAAAAAATTGTTTTTTTCTTGTTAATCTATTTACTAAATATCTATTCTTTTTTTGCGATCTAATATGTAATATATGCTAATAATAGCAAATGGTATTTATATAGATATCAATTATTTAATTACAAAATTTATATGCTTTTTTATTATTTTTCTGACTTTTCATATACAGTTGCCAACTGTGTGATATTTTCACATCTTAAAATTAAGAAATATGAATATATATATCTATTTTTATAATAAAATAATTATAGATGCCTACTGAAATCTCCTCAAAATAATTTCGTCATACCCTTTTTTATGTTTTTAATATAGTTTCAACAGTTTTAGCTTTCATCGTATTGAATGGGTTTTGTCATATCCTTTATTATGATTTTAATATAGTTTCATCTAAGTTTCGACTGTTATTAAAGGGTTTCATCCCTCATCTATAAAAATGATATAATATTTAATCTTTGATGAATTTTTAACATTAACTGATTACAATTTTTTAATATTTTTAAATCTAACAAATTTAATCATCTACTTTAATATTATTTGCAAAGTATTAACATCATTTTGTAATAAAGTTATATTTTCCTATTCAAATTTGATAAAATTAGATACATATATAGGCATTTTGCAGTAGAAAGGAAGTAAACTATCAAAAAAATTTTTATAAGCTAAATATTATTTTTTAATAAAATAAATTCAGATTTAAATTAACTCAAAAAAAAATTTTTTGGTAGTTTTCTTTCTCTCTTTTTACTGTAAAATCCCATATATACATATATAGGAAAATTTATATAAATAAGTTTGATTTTTTCATTTCTTAAAAAAATAATTTAAACTTAAACTTTATTTTTTTTAAAATCAAAATTTATCTTCACAATTAAATTTTTTCTTTTTACATTTTTTCTCTTTATATAAAATGCTATCAAAATGCCAATAAAAATATTATCACAAGAATCAAAAGAACATAAGTTGAATTTTATCTAATTTTTAAAAGATAAACTGATTTTTTTACTTTTTATAATAAAAATATAATCATAATTAAAATTAAAAACATATTTTTAAATATCAAAATTAGTTGATAAAAAAGAAAAATATAAGTTGAATTTTATTAATTAACCAGTTCAACTTTTAAATAAAAAACTGATTTTTTTTACTTTTCTATAATAGAATTTCAATTGTTATTAACATCAAAAAAACATTAAAAATTAAAATCTGCTGATAAAAGCTAAAATATAAGTTGAATTTTATTAATCAACTAGCCAATTTTTCAAATGATAAACTAATTTTTTTTATTTTTCTATAATAGATATATAACCACAACTAAAATCATAAAAATGCTTTTAATATTAAAATTGGTTAAAGAAGAGTCAAAAAGTAAGTTAAATTTTATTAATCATCAGTCAATTTTTCAAATGATAAACTGAATTTTTTACTTATCTATAATAGAAAAAGATAAAATATATTTATGTAAAATTATTTGAAGAAGAGTCAAATTTTCAAAGTATAATTAGTTATAATATACTATTATTAAATAACTTTTCAAATTATAAAAATAAATATAAAAAATTATAAAAATAATATAGTAAAATTAACTTACTTCTAAATTTTGATGATAACTAGTGAAGTTGAGATTCTGATAATTTAGAATCAGATATATTATTTTTAATTCATTATTTTATAATTAACAATATATTTCTTTAGTTTTACATAGAGAATCAAAAGCTTAAAAAAAATCTTATTAAATTTAACAAGAGAATTGAGAAATTAGAAAGATAAATTCAATATCTTAAAAAAAAACTGATTTTTTTGTTAAAATTAATAAAAAATTCAATAAAAAAAATAAAGATTTATAGGAGAAATAAAAATTCGTATAAGATTGCTAAATAAAAGCTAGAGATTTTACGAGTTATCTAAATATAAAAAGATAAAATTTAGTAAAATTATATTAAAACTTTATTAAAAATTTGCAAAATTCTAGAAAAAGTAAAACTATATCAAGTTTATAAAAATGTGAACTATATCAAAACTTTAATAAAAATAGCAAAATTATAGTTTAGATATTATTCTAAGTCTAAAATGAATTTAGACAAACAATCTTACTAATATCTAATATTTATTCTAACTAATTTTTCTTTTTAATATTTAAGAATTGAATAATTAAAAAAATATGACTGCTTAAATTATTGATGTAAACTGATAATGAAAAATTGATAAAACTTCATCAAAATTAAAAGAAAAATAGCTAGTTCATTATACTGATATAAATTAGAATTATTCTAAAACAATTCCAAGAATGATGATAATTATTAATAAAAAAGGTTAATATAAAAAGAGCCAGAATATCAGTCATTAAAAATGTCACATGAGTTAATGATCATTAATAAATAAATTTTATGTAACCTATTATACTAATTAATCTTTAAATAAATTAAGCTATACATTTAAATAAAAAAATTTTTTATCATTTATTCTTTATATACTTTTCGACACATTTTTATAATTTTTTTGATTATTTTAATATTTAAAATAAAAAATATTATTATTTAAATTTTACATACTTTTTTACCTATATGTCAATGATTGAATTTTAAACATATTTGAAAGCTCGTAAATACCATTTAGATATATGTATTTCATTATTATTTTTCATTTTATGTAAAAAAATTTGATGTTTTGACTGCTGATTTTGTAAAAACTACAAAATTTCATTTTGTATATATGATAACAAGGTAAAACATAAATTAAATCAAGAATAACTTATTTATTTAACTTTGTAAATATTATACAATAATAATACATAAATTTATTTGATTTAATTATTATTTATTAATATGATAATTCTACTAATTATATACCCTTTTCTTATCCTATTCAGCTTCAAGTAATTGAAGCATTTTGTCATATATATGATTTGAAATCTTTTTATAAACTAACAGATGTTCTTGTATTTGCTCTTTATGCACAAGTACTTTTTTTCATCTTCTAGAAGTCTGGTTATTATAGTTATCAACATGTAGCTAAAGTGGCAGATATATAGGAGAATTAGGCATAATTTAAGTTTACAACAAACTTTACGTATATAGCATACCTCTGTTTGATCATTATTTAGAGATATTTTGTTACACTTTTATGTCTTTTTTTTAATTCTCTTTATTTTTCTTTTAATTCTCCTTATTTCAGTATAGTTTTTGTATCTAGTTCAGCGAACTTCTAATGCATATTTTTCCTATGCATTTTGAGATTCACTTTTTATCACATTTTATTTATAAATTATCCACATTCATTCTAAGACATTTTCATAATGTGCAAGTAATTTTTGTATCCTTCTTTGTATATTTTAGGTGACTTGAGATCTTTAAAAATCTGATGTAATAATGAATCTGTTATGTCAAAAATTATAACTAAGTCTTCTATTAATTTCCATAAGACCTTTCTTTTGGAATCGATAGTACGTTCACTTTGAGAAATTGAAGTTTTCTTAAAATATTCACTTAGAAGTAGATCAACTCTTTCTCTTTTTGATTGGACTGCTTTAATATTTACCTTTAATTTTATATTATCAATAATATTTTCGCTAATATTTTGTTTTATAAAATGAATTTTAAAAGTCTTAAGTGTTTCATCAAAACTAAAATAAACAGACTTGATTTTTACTTCTATCATTATTAATATTCTTTGGTATTCTAAATACTTTAACATATTGCAAAAATTTCATTTAATTTTAGATACTTAGCTAAGGTAGAGAGATATTGAGCGATAGCTATTGCATAATTTGATTTACCCATGCTTGAAAAAAAGAGGTGATATTATAGCAAGAGCATTTTGTTACAAATTATGATTTTCAATTCTTATTCCCATTCAATGCACTTTTCATATTCCAGCCACTGATAATAAAGATACCAAATTTTTAGCAAAATATTGACATCAGTATTTTCATTTATTATTTTAGATAAATTAATATTTTTTTTTTGTAAATATATTAATTGAGACCCTAACTGTCATTCACAAAAGTCTAAGACTCTAAATGTTGTTTAATAGTCAATAGCTAGCTCAAATTTGTCTAAAAATTGAACAAATAATCTTTTTGCTAAATTTAGAAGCTCATAACTAAAGAACAATATAATTAGAACTGAACAGAAATTTTTGGAGATGTGTTATTGTCTAAGTAATAGTCTCAATTAAGGCTATTACTCTTGGCATCTAACTAACTGATAATAAATAATCTCATCAATAACTATATCAAGATACGTAGTCTCTTGCAAATTAAGATCAACTTTATATATAGTGGCAGCTTCTAAAATTGCTAAGTTCAGATTATCTCCTAGTTCAAGAATTATAATATAGAAAGAAGAACCTTGATAGCTATATTCAAATTCTTTTAGTATAGCTTTTTAATTATTTCTGCATTAAAATTTTAATTATATTCTAAATTACCTTCATTTGTATTTCGAAAATCTAGCAAATTTTTTAATATACTTTGAAATCTATCTAAAGCCTCTTGTATAGTAAGATTCATATCAAATATATGATTATTTTATTTTAAGATAATTAATTCTTTCTGACACGTTGCCAAATAATTAGGAATTACTGATTAAAATGCCATTCTCAAGGTTGCATGTGAGCTATTTCTTGTAATATCATATATATTTCCAAAGGAGAATATTTTATGTTTAAAGTTAATGTTATTTATGACAGCAAAATTCCATATATCTAATTCATGGTATAACCTTTATATAGGAATAGCATTATTAATTTACTCCTTTTCTTGATTTTTTTCATAATGTTCGCTGTGTCCTATTACATTCCATAAAAAAAGGAGACTATTAAGTAATAATAATAATTTTGATTTACGTATCAGACTGCTTAGCATATTAGTCAACCAAATATTACATGAAGGAAATACTATACCAGTGAGAACAGAAACAAAAAATATAACTATTTTATAATTATATTTTCAGGCAAAGTTTTAATGACTTGTTCTTATTGTTTTCTTTTTCTATTACTAATAGCTAATTTTTATTTATAAATCTCTATTAATATTCCCCCAAAAAATTCTGTGAAAAATTCAGAAATGCATGATAATATTTGAAAAGTGATTCTGATAAACTTAGTAATTCATTTTTCTCATTTATTATTTCACGTGATTTCTAGAGCTTAATTCTGAATTTTTATTCTAAACTTTCATAATCAATTATTTCTATATTAACACCTTATAGTTTATTTTGTAAAAATGTATTAAAGAAAAGAATTTGTATAACAAAAAGGCTAAAAGTTTCATCAGATTTTGTTAATGAAAATATAGTTTTAATTGGAGAAAAGTGAGAACAGCTTTTACAATAAAATTCAAAATTTCTTTTTTTTTTAAATTTTCACCTGTATGAAAAATCTTAATAAGCTAATTTGTAATAAAATTGATTTTTTTCTATAATATCTTGTTTGTGTAATTTATTATAGTTTGATTTTTTACCTCGTTTATAATATGCTCACCCAATTATTTATAATAACTGCAATAGATATATCTTAGTTTATCTATTTTTAAAGATTGTTCTATAGTATACTTGAACATTTTATCCATTAATTAACTAGGAATGGTTACTGTATTCTTCTTCCAGCTATAGAAAATTATATATTATTTACATTTTATACATCTTTAATATTGAATTATAGCATCTAAAGTCGTAAATTCTTTTAATACTTTATCTTTAAGATTGTGAATTTGATTTTAATCATATAAAAAATATAAATTACAAACTCTTAAATAATGATTATTGACTTGTTGAACTGCATCTCAATTTATTTGCCATGTTTCATATAAATTTCATATCTTTTTAAGCTTGTAAATTTTGCCATATCATTTAATTATACCTTAAATATTATTAATTATTATACAAGGTATTATTAATTATATATTGAATTATTTGTAAGTAGATCCTTCATCTATATAGTTTAGAATTATTTCATTCTTTTCTCTTTCATATTTATTATTAATATTTTATTTATCATTACTATTATTATTTTGTTCTAATGATAGCTCTGTCTCAATTTTACTATCATATTCATCTGAATATGATTCTATTTCACTATTTTCTTTATTTTTATAAGCTAACATTTTATTTAATATATTGTTAAACTTAAAGAAAAGCTGGTCAAAACTATTCTTCTCAAGAAATTCTTCAAATATTTCATTTTCACTATCTTTTCCAACATTTTTCAATCCAAATTCTTGTGATAATATAGAATTATTGTCAATTTCAAAGTTCAACATTGTAAAATATTATAAATTTATAAACTTCACGTCAAAATAGCACCAAAGAGTTAAAAACTTTAATTTATTTTTATTTATTTACTATTAGATATACAAATAAAAGAAGAAAAGATTGAACAGAAAAAATTTAAAAGTATAAAAAAGTTCTTACGAACTTATAAATAATTGTTTATATTATATAAACATATCTTATTTCATAAAAATATAAAAGTTTTATTTATATACTATATAAACAAATAAAAATGTGTAACTTTCTTTAGATAGATTGAACTGAATAAACTTAATTTTTGAATTTTTTAAAATATATAAAAATATTTTTTAAGATCTTGACGAACATGCCAATAATTATTTATAATAATATTACATTGTATAAATGTGATATTATCTGAATTTAAAATTTTCGATTTTAACTAAATTTAGGCTGGCATTATAAATTTTCGAAACTTTCGGCCAGCATTACGAAAATTCTGACCAGCATTATGATTTAAAGATTATTAATTTTTAAATAATTGAACTAATTCTAGCCAATAAAATTTTATATATGTAATATACACCTAAAGATAATATTACACTAAAAAAATTTTATTATAATATCATAGTACAAAAAAAACTCCTTATTAATTGTGTGACATTTCTACTGACTGATATGTTTAAATTTATGTCATTATATTTTAAATTTATAGTTATTTTTTTCTGCTTTTCATATTTAGACTGAAATAAAAGCAGTTTTAAAAATTATTAGTATAAAAGATGATTTAGACTATGATAAAATTTTTAATAGTAAAAAAAATACTAAAATACATTGTAGTCTAATTTTAGAATTACAAAAGATCTTGATTTTGAATTATTGACTTTTTGTTAATTAACTAATAAATTAGTTAAAATCTCTTCATAAATCATATTGATTAGCTTGAAGAATAAAGAAAAGTGGAAAAGACTATTTAGATCAGTAGCAAATTCATAATAATAATTGAGTATATAATATATATAAATGAAATATATTCTGAATTTTAGTCTATTTGAATCAATATTTTAATATTATTTATTATTTTATTAGAAAGTAATTCAGTGAATAAAGGTTGCAAAATATTTATTCAATTAAATAATAAATAAATTGTAAAATACAAATAATAACCTTTACTTTAAATATTCAGTGATCATCAATATTATTCATTTGAAATCAGTAAAATAAATAAAGAAAACCATTAAAATCTATTATTACTATATATGATTATTCTTAATGATCAGTTAAAGTTTATTATTTCTTTATCTAATTTAACATTTTTCAAATTTATTTAATATATTTTACTAACATTTTTTTTATTTTTTTTTTTTAATTAAAATATCTTTTTAGAAAGTACTTATTCTAATGCTGCATTATCATCTCAAATATAATAAAATAATATTATATAATATTATAACTAATCATATTCTGTTAATACTCTAAAATAATTATATAAAATTCAAATTGATATAATTTATGATATTGAGTTTTATAACTAAGGTTATTGGTCTAAACTTATTTTAGTCTTAATAAATGTCTAAACTATAGTTTTGCTAATTTTTTTATAGTTTTGATATAGTTTTATATTTATAAACTTTGATATAATTTACCTTTTTTAGAATTTGCAAATTTTTTAATAAGGATTTAATATAATTTTGTTAAATTTTACCTTTTTTTATTTAGATGATTTACAAAATCTTTAGATTTTGTCTAGTAATTTTAACACTACTTAAGAATATGTAACAAAAAATGAAGAATATACAAAAGTTAAAAGGGATAATTTATTTATATTAAAAGTGAAAATGAAGAAGAACTTGTAATAAAAATGATAGTAAATGATAAATTTCAGGAGATTTAAAGGAAAGTGTCAATTTTACAATTTATCATTATATTTTTTTAGACAATTTTAAGAGAAAAAAAATTGATTTTTTTCTTATTTTATTATTTATATTTACATTTTTTTCAGGTGATTTAGAGTGAAAAAGGGGCAGTTTTATTATTATTCTTATATTTTAGATAATTTTAGGATAAAAAGTATCAATTTTTATTATTTTATTATTATTTTTTACATTTTTTGAGAATTTTAGAGTGAAAAAGTATCAATTTTATTATTTTATTATTGTTCTTTATGTTTTTTAAGCAATTTTAGAGTAGAAAAAGTTAATTTATTATTAATTTATTATTTATCTTATATTATTTAAATAGTTAAATAATAATGATATTATATTTAGGATAATTTTAAGGGATTTTAGAAGGAAATAGATTATATTTTTATTATTTTTATTATTTTTTGCTTATTTTTAATAGAAAATTCATTAGTGAGTTTTAGTAATATTTTTATTATAATTTTGCGAATTTATATTAGATTTTTATTATTAATAAAATTTAATATTTGATAAATTTAATTAAATAAAAATATACTGATTTTATATATTTATTTAACTGAATTGATACTAAATTAAAACCAATTTTAGTTCAATTTATGGTTATTTAAGTTCTAAATTAATGTTAAATTCCTTATCTGATTAGAATTAATTAGCACTGATTTATGGTTGAATTACTTATCTGATTAGAGTTGATTAGTAATATTTATACTAATTTATAATTAAATTTAAGTTCTAAATTAATGCTAAATTATTCTAAATTAAGACTAATTTTAGGCTGATTTATAATGCTGAATGGTTATATCTGATTAAAGTTGATTAGTGATAATTTGAACTATTAGAAGATAATTGAAAAATATAACCAATTAGCTATAAATAATATCAAAATTAGCCTAAAATCAGCTATCTGATTTCTAATTGATTTGAATTATTTTAATTAATATTTAGTATTTTTTTTTCAATTTTATAAATTTTGTATAATTTATTTATATAAAATAATCCAAAACTAGATAAATCTTATATAACTTAAATCAGAATATATAATTAGGTTTTGTATTTACATCTTTAAATGTAAACTTTAACAAGAAACTTATAAATACTAAAAAAAGATTTACATATTTAAAATCTAAGAAGAATTATATTATTAAATTAGTGGTCTAATATTAAGAAATAATATTAGAAAACTAAAATTTGCTTAAATTTACTTTTATAGTCAAATATGAATAATTAACTTCAAAAAAGATAAGAAATATTTTTAAATTGAAATGCTAAAATACTTGAAACATTACAAAATAAATTATTAAAAAATAATCTATTTATTGATCAATTTGTAATTTCAGAAAAAAAGCTAAAATAAATCTAATAGTTCATAATAAAGAATGATTATTTATAATATATATGTCAAAGATATAAGAAAATATAATAAACCAATAGCATCAAAAATTGTAATACTTCTTTGTGATTATCACATTTAACCAGAATATTAGAATATTGTTATTTAAACTCATAAAAGATAATTAAAATATATCTTTGAATTAAATAGTACTTATGTTTCATTATAATAATATAAAGGTTAAAAAGGTCATGACTTAGAATTGGAATATTTAGAATTAAATAATAAATTAAGATTAGTTAGAATTCAGAAAAGAATTAGAATTAGTTAGAATTAAGGTAAGAGGTTAGGCTTAGTTAGAATTAGAGTAAGAAATTAGGTTAATTAGGATTAAAGTAAGAGATTAGATTAGTTAGGATTAGAGTAAAAGATTAGGTTAATTAGAATTAAAATAAGAAATTAAATTGGTTTGAATTAAAGTAAAAAATTAGATTAGTTAGGATTAGGATTAAGATAAGAGTTAAGATTAGAGTAAGAGATTAGAATTAGTTAGAAATCAGATAAGTAGTTAGGATTAGGGAAAATTAATTAACATTATCACGTTATTTAAGATCAAACAGATTTAATATATAGAATGAAAATGAATCTAGCAATAATCAAATGTTAAAATCACTTTATAACTACATTGTGATTAAATTAATTGTATTGTAAACTATTTTTAAGTGCATCTCCTCAAAATTTTTCTGAAAATAATAATTATTAATACTTAATCTTAGGCATTATAATAATATACAGAAAATTCAAGTTCAGCGTTAAATACAAAAAAATAAACTATGGTAAAATTATAGGTCATTTTCTACTATTAATTAGATGATGATGATCAGAAGAATTTTAAATAATACTTTAAAAATTAAGGTTCTTGACTCATGATTTGACTCAATTCAACTCATTAGGAGTTCTACTAAGAGGTTCGAAGAACGCGAAGTTAAAGTTCAATCAACTTCTATTGACGAGTTTCAAACTTTAAACAATACTGTATATAACGGGTATGTTTATAATGTTGATGCTGCTAAAGATCCAACAGTACGTCAAGATAAATGTAGATCTTCTAATAAAGATTGAAAGCTTTTAATGAGGTAAATAAAAAAAAGTAGGAAGTATTAGCAAAAGCCAACAGGTTAATAATGATTGTGAAGAAAAAGGAAATGAAGTTAGTGGATGTAGATGTGATTTATGTCATAAATATAGGCATTAGTGCTTCTAAATGTCCTAATAAAGAAAATGCTAATGTAAATGGCTAATAACAGTTGATAATGTAATTATTTATGTGTTGATAAAATAAAGTAAATTATACGTTAACTCTATTAAATGTTAAATTTACAATTGTCGAAGTCATTTAATATCACATGATTACATAAAGTGATATTTAACCATTTGTTGCAGGGGCGATAAATAAATTTAGTAAAAATTAAAAATCATTTCTTTATTAAAATATTATATATATATATGCTACTTAATTGGTTACCTTCTAAATAATAAATATATAGATTTTGAAAATATATAAAAAAAAAAAAAATAATTTATTAAAAATTGATTTAAATAAATAAAAATATACCGACTGCAATGATCAACAATAGTAACACAGGATATACATAGCACAAATCTTTTGATTTATGGATACTAGTGTTCATAAATACGCGTTCGAATTATTAATTTGAACTTGACAAATCGCTTTGAACTCAAAAATTAGAAATATGGATCTCCACATTTATCATCAAAAAATTTTATGTCTTGAATTATAAAAGTTATACTGTGCAAGTATTTTAATTATAATAATATATAAGATATAGTATTTTTTAAAATATTTAAGGAAAATTATGTATTTAATTAAATAATTTTATTTCTCAAAAAAAAAAATAAAACAAATACATGAAGAATTCGAATCAATCAAATATTATTTGGAATTTCAGAAATTTAAAACAAATGGATTTATGAAAGAATCGCCAAATGATTTTAGGAACGTTTATCTTGTTGGTTAAGGTATTTACAAATGAATTTGTATTACGTAAATCTTGTTGATGGATTCACGTGAATATAAATGACGATCATAAACGCATCGGATTAGATTAAGTTAAGGGGTTCAATTATTTATAAAGTGCGCCAAGTAAATTTTCTTTCGACTCCTTTCTTTCATATTTATTTTTTATAAATGTCTACCGGAAAGAATGCATTAATATTTGGTGCAACAGGTATTATTATTTACTTAAATTCGTTTTTATAACAATAATCTTTTTGTTTTCAAAAAAAAAAATTAGATTTAATAAAGAGACATATATATAATTATGTGTAGGTGCGGTTGGAAAAACACTTTTAAAAGATTTGTTAAATTGTGAATATTTTAAAAGTATTACTTCGACTGGACGTAGAGAAGTTGCTTATGATGGCCCCAACAAAGAGACTTTGGTATGTAAAACTCGGTTATTTCGTGTAAAAAAAAAGAGGGAGTTATATCGATATTAATAATAATTAGATATTATAATAATAGATTCAAAAAGTCATTGACTTTGAAAAGTTAGATGAACATAAAGATGTATTTGTCGGATATGAGTAAGTGTAATTAATATGAATTACTTGTCTCTTATTGAGATATTAAATGTTAACTTTTCGATTTTTTTTTTTTTAAAAAAAAATTCAAAGTACAGTATTTTGCACGTTGGGTACGACGAAAGCTCAGGCAGGATCCGCGGAAAATTTCGTAAAGATCGATAAAGATTATGTCTTAAATTCCGCAAAACTCGTTAAAGAACAAAACCCCAATAAGGAAATTCATTATCTTTATTGTTCGTCAAAAGGTGCCAATGCTAATTCACCTTTTCTTTATTTAAAGACCAAAGGAGAAATTGAAAATGGGTTAAAAGAAATTGGATTTAAAAAACTGAGTATATTTAGACCTGGAAATTTGAAAATAAGTGAACCAAGGGATCAAGGACGTAGAAGATTTGAGGAAATTGCGTTGAAATTTGCTAGTGTTGTGGAGATGATTTTTCCCCAAAAAATAAGTGTACATGTAGATATTGTTGGAAAAGGTAACCGTGATAATTTTTGTTTTTATTTGATCTTATTTGTTTTTTTCCTTTGACATTTGAATTCTTAATGAGATTTTTTATTCTTTTTATAGCTATGAAGAGAGTTGCTACAAATGATGCAAAGGTTGAAGTGAATCAAACTACCTTAGAAAATGGGACAGTCTTTGAAATTTATGAGCATATGCAAATTCATGAAATTGGTGGCTAGTCTATATAGAAGGATAAGATAAAGAAGATATATACATACGTATTTTAGCACAAAGAATTCTCATATAACTTTTTAAATGCAAAATTTATATTTATTAAATTATTATAATTAAAAATATTTGTGGTTGGTCAAATAATTTGTTTTAAGGGAACAGTGATACAAAATCATCATCGTCATAAAAATCATCATCTAAGATAGGAAAAACGGGAGGTATATTATTATCATCAGCTACTCCATCATCATCGGGTTGGTTCTTTCTTTCCTCACATCGTTTTAAATATTCACTAAATATGAACTGGAAAAAAAATTATTGATCAATTTGAAAACTTAATCGAGAAAAAATAAAAAAGAAAAATTAAAAATCTTTAAAATCGCATACCTTTGAGTAATTATTTATATCAAATAAAAATGGCTTACTACCAAAATTAACTGAAATTCTTTCATTTATAGATCTCATACCGACCATGGGATAAAATTCACCTTTAAGGCTCATAAAAGCAGTTCCTAAATGAATTCCATTTATTGTATAAAATGCTGATTGATTTAAATAATTTATACCACATCCGACTACATCTCCTTTATTAAAAAGTGGACCATATCTTATTCCTTTTCCACACCAAAATCTATTTCCATCATCTCCATGATATCCATATGAATTCCAATCCCATCCTATGACAAAGAGGAAGGGAGAAATTTTTAAGTTAAAATCAAAAGTCTAAGGGAAAAGAAATACAATATTGTTGTTGGTTTTACCTGGTAGTCTATTCAACGATGCATTTGGCTCAGAAAATCCTATTCCTATATTTCTAAAGATCATAATTTTTCTTTAAAAAAAACTATTGCTACAAAAGTTGTAATTAAGTAAAAATAAAAATGTGATAATACTTTTTTTCGCCTTCATCTATTATTTCGATCTCATAATAATATATTCCAACATCTGAAGGTATAGGATTATCAGCTCGAGATGCTGCAGCATCAATTTCATTTCCTGGTCCTATATAAATGTTAATTATTAAAATAATTCTTTTTTTTTTTAAAAAAAAAAGGGTTTAATAATAAATACCGTTATATAAAAGGCCTAATTTATCATCAATAATTTCGATATATCTAAAAGAATCATTTTTTTCCCAATAAGTTGGTAACTTTAAATTTTCGATTGTTTTGTTTTTTAATAATAATAATGGACTGTGACTTATGTACGAACGAATATATGGTAATGATGAATAGGTCATTTTATTTTTATTTTATTATATTATTATTATTTTTTTTTTTTTTAAAAAAAAAAAAAAAAAGAGTTGATCCTACATATTTATAATTCATTCTTAATGCTTGAGGATTCAGACTGCGTCATATTACAGTACTACTACGCCACATAATTGTTTTAATTATATTGTGTCTAGGAAAAAAAAACTTGGATTTTGTGCGACAACGTTTCTTAAATGCTGCGGAAGCATAAAAAATTATATTAAGTCTATATAAGTCAATTACGTAATACATGGATAGGCGCGCGAAAATTTGACCAAAAAAGTTGTGGTCTTGCAATAATCCTTTATTAAGCTTATAACTTCGTGCTTTTCATAAATCCCAAAAAATTTTTTTTTAACTCGAAAAAAAAAATTCATTTATTGGCTGATTCTTCGTGTAAATCAAAGAACGCCACGGTATGCGTGTGCGTATCACCAAAGATTAATTCGCCCAAATGTTTCTCTGATGATCGATCTTAAAAAATTTCGAGTCTAATCTAGATGTTGTGTAACGAATAATTCTGCGGAAATTAATAAATAGACGCAGGAGCATCGTTTACTGTACTACCAGATATGGCGCACGATGTGACTCACATTAGGTTTTCTGCGCCTAACCTCCGGCAAATCAAATACTTGCGAAGGCATTTACAATATCGTATAAAAATAAAATTTTCGGTGTATCGCGCAGTTGATACGCAAATTTTTTTTTGATCGACCAAACATCAATTTTATCAACTAAAATTTTGGATAGGAATGATATATATTTTATTAGAACTTTTTGAAAAAAATTCTTTATCATCGTTAGGGTATTTGAAATGCATAATTTGGAAACATAATTGACGGGAGAATCTGCAATCGTATGTATTCTAGATAGAGGGTTGGGAATCTTCCAACCCTTTAAAAATGAATTTTAAATTCACCACCTCAAATAGTATTTGTTGTATTATAATTACGTAATGATTTACTTGATTTTGGTTAGATTGTAGAATTCTAGAATATTTTGGTATTTTTTAATTTTACACTACCTGATCATAGAAAAAAGTAATAAAAGGCTCGCCATTTTGCCTGTTGCCAAAATATTATAATGAACAATGGGCTTATTTGGAAAGAAAACTTTACCCACTCCTCCTGCTCCTCCTGCGCCTTATCATACGCTATCTATTAACCAGGTAGTCGAACATACAAAAACTGATCCTGACGATGGTCTTACTACACGTGAAGCTGCTCACAGGCTTGATTTATATGGGTTCAATGAATTATCAGGACAAGGGAATGTCAGTGCCCTTTCCGTTTTATTTAGACAAGTAGCAAATGCTTTGATGTTAGTCTTGGTCATTGCAATGATAATTTCATTTGTATTTGAAGATTACGTGGAAGGAGGTTCGTTTTAATTTATAAAAGTAAATTTCTTCGTAAAAAAACAGATAAATTTTAAGTTTTCTTTTTTGATAGGTGTCATTGCCTTTGTTGCTGTATCAAATGCATTAATTGGATTTGCCCAAGAGTATCGTGCCGAGAAAACTATGGAATCTTTACGCAGAATGGCTTCTCCAACTACAAGAGTTATAAGGGGTGATTCGTTGATATCCGTTTCGACAAGAGATGTTGTAGTTGTAAGTTATTTGGCAATTTAAATTAAAACTAATCCTTCGTTCTGACTGACTACCGGGTCCTTTATAAAGTTTACCCATAAAATGTCGATCATCGCAACTGGGTGATAAACATATGAAACATATACATTATATATATCTATGTGGATCAATCAATTCTTTTTCCTCTTTATTTGTTTATTAGGGCGATGTTATCGTATTCGAAGAGGGAGATGTTATAGGTGCGGATGCTCGACTTTTTGAAGTACTTAATTTAGAAGTGGACGAAGCATTATTGACGGGAGAATCTGTTCCTGTTTCTAAATCGTATGTGTAATAAAATATGATATGATGTATCTATATATATATATATTTTACAAATTTGGGATTAATACATTATTATCATTAACGATTACTTTAGAATTGATGCAATTCAAGAACATGAAAAACCCCTGGGTGATCGCGTAAATATGGTATTTTCAAGCACAACAGTAACAAAAGGACGTGGTAAAGGTATTGCTGTTAATACTGCCATGGGAACCGAAATTGGTAAAATCGCAAAAACCTTGGCTTCTACTTCTGTTGCATCACGAACTCCCTTGCAAAAAAGGTAAATTTAACTGTTGTTGATTATTATTATCGTGATTATTTTATGGTTATTATTTTAATATATTCAAATTTCTTAAGAATGGATATGCTTGCTTATGCGTTATTCGGAGTTTCGATCATTTTAGCGATAATTGTATTTAGTGTAAATAAATGGAAAGTAAACGATGACGTTGCTATTTATGCTATTTCAGTTGCTATTGCTGTCATTCCTGAAGGTCTTGTTGCTGTGGCAAGTTTTCAACATTTAATTATTAAAAAAAAAAAAAGTTTCAACAAATTTTTATTTTAATCTTTAATTGATGTTTTTTAGATTACATTAACCATGGCTCTTGGTGTTCGACAAATGGCTAAAAATAATGCTATTGTTCGTAAATTAAATGCCTTGGAAGCTTTAGGTTCAGTTACAAATATTTGTTCGGATAAGACCGGAACACTTACGCAAAGTAAAATGATTGCAACTAATGTTTGGCTTCCGGGTGATGGCTTTTACGGAATTTCAGGTAGAAAAGGGTTTAACCCTGAAGGAAATATTTATCGATATGGAGAAAGTGTGGACGGATCTTCCGAAAAAGCCGAAGGAACTTCGGAAACTATTGAAATTGTTGAAACTTCAGAAGAAAAGCAATCTAAAGGCGAAGAAGTCACTTTGGACAATATGAGATATGCTTTTAGACGTCTAGTTCAAGCATCAGCACTTTGTAATATGGCTGTCATTAGAAAGGGAAAAGCTAATGACGAATGGCATGGAATAGGGGACCCGACCGAGGTAAATACTAAAAATAATGATAATATTTTAGTTGTTTTTATTTTATTTTTTTTTAATGCTATAATATTTTTTTCGTCTAGTCTGCTCTTCAAGTTTTCGCTCATAAAGCAGGATTACCAAAACCAGTTCTAACAGCGGAACCATTTAAATTCACGATAGTTAGCGAATATCAATTTGACACTGTACTTAAGCGCATGTCTGTCGTATGTAGAGAACTGGATACAGATACTCATTATGTATTCCTTAAGGGTGCAACGGAATCCGTTTTAAGCCAATGTACGAAAATTCAACTTGGTGATACTATTGCAAATCTCGATCTGGAAAGTTTTAAACCAGAATTGTACGCTCAATTGGAAATACTTGCAAACAGAGGATTGGTAAATATAATATCTCGTGTATTCTTTTTTTTTAAAAAAAAGTTTGGAGATGAATTTTATGTTAAATACGAGATAATTCTTTTCTTTGGAATATAGCGTGTATTATCATTAGCGTATCGTCAAGTTACTAAGACAGACGTTGAAATTTCAAAGTGGACCCGTGACCGAGCTGAATCTGAAATGATATACTTAGGTTTGGTTGGTATTTATGATCCACCACGACCAGAATCCAAGATTGCTGTTCAAAGATGTTTCGGTGCCGGAATTGAAGTTCATATGTTAACTGGTACTTTTTTTTTTTTTTTTTTTAAAAAAAAATAAATAAATAAATAAATAAATAATATTTTATATATTCAGGTGATCATCCTTCCACTGCTGCTGCTATTGCAAAAGAAATCGGTATCCTTTCTCCTTT